CATGTCAATTCGTGTCTATAGTGATATAATGGTTTGTGTCTTGAATAACTGTTGGTTACGTACATTCATCTGGCAATCCCCCCCATTTTGAAGTTTAGCTTTGACAGTTTTGTTATGTTTACATTTCTCATAATCGTTCTTATGTCTATTATTTGGGCAATAAAAAATAATAGATCAAACTGCCTAAAGTCGTGAGCCGGCTATCGTCTAAGCCACATAATTGATGTTTTTCATTGGTTAGCTCGAATTCGTCTAATGACATCAGCATAAACATATCTGATAAGAGACGGATCGCATCCTGTACCTATAAGATCTGAATGCACAAAGCCCACGATGATAATATCTTTAAAGATTAACCCCCCCTCGAGACACATTTCTAACTGGTCGACCCATCATACCTGCGTTCTCAACTTTCGTGGTATTTTCGCATTTCGATGCTATATGACTGAGCCGGCCACATTTAAAGCAAGTGACTGTGCTTTGAGGACAATTACGCAAAATATTCTTTGAATCACCGCACCGGAAAAAACGCTTATCTTGTTGGTTTTGCGCTTGTTTAGGTGATTGTGTACATTGCACTGAGAAAAATTCCGTTTGTATGGGAGGTGCCACGGCCTTCGCGATGGCAGAATAAGCATTAACCCAAAGTTGATGTATTTCAACACGAAAAATGTACTTATGTGTGATGGAAAACTCGCGGAAGAGTAAATTTCTACGGCAAAGCAATTGAAAGTATGCCAAATTTTTTTTGAATGTACAATAGCAAAAAACTAAAATCAGGCTCATCTCATTTATGTAACTTACTTTTAAGAAACAATAAGAATATAGCATTAAACAACAATGTACGGGGCACCAGTAATCTTAAAGTTCAGGAAAAGTTCCCAGATCAAAAGCTTGACCTTAATATATTGTCGTACAACATTAACGGATTACATAGCAAACTGACTTTCCCAAATTTCTTTGAATATATACATAAATTTGAAATAATAATCTATATATTAATACGCTAACATAAATTTTGTCTCCGTTCATTTGGCGATTCTACCGAACCGATTTCAAAACCAAGAACACCGTTGGAAAGGCATTTTTCCGTAGTTGAGCAGAGTTTTTATGGTTTCACAATTGGCTGAAAATTACGGCCAAAACCGTCGTTTAAACATTTTCGAATTGTGTATAGATGTTGCTGCAACATGTTCAATTTGACATGTTTCGCCTGTTGTTTCACTACACATTTGAAATTAAGCTTTGAAATAAAGATAAATATGAAGATGAAGAAATAAATAATAACGATGAAGTCAAAAAAAAGAAAGCAAAAGTGAAGATAAAGACGAAAATGGAGACAATGACAGATACATAAGAATTAGGGTAACTGAAAGGGTAAGAACATTTCTTGAATTTATGAAGTGAAACTTCTTTAGCGGCAGTTGGTTGAGAGTAAATCGTCAAATTCGAGGGGAATAATGCACACGGAAATGGTTCTCAGCGGTTTACCGGTTTGAGAATAAAAACAAAAACAAAGATGCCTAGAGGTACAGGCAAAAACGAAGATCAAAGTAAATTTAAAGACTTTAAGGTAAAGGTGAACAGGAATATGCAAAAATAAAGATAAATATGAAGAAAAGGATGAGGATGAAGATCGATATTGTTATCGATATAAAACTCGATATTCTTATCGATATAATGATCGATATTGCTATCGATAAAATAATCGATATTGTTATCGATGCTGTTATTAATTAAATAACCGCTATTGTAGTCGATATAATAATCAATAAAATAATCGATATTGTTATCGATACAATAATGGATATTGTTATCGGTATAACAATCGATTAAATAATTGATTTTGTTATCGATTTAGTAATTTATATTGTTAACGATATGTACAATAATCGATACTGACGATTGTTATATTTATCGCTGAATTAATCGATTTTATAATCGTTGTATTTTTCTATATGTGTATGGATATTGTTATCGGTATTTTTATTGAAACAGTTATCGACAGGGTTACCGATTTAATAATCGGAACATGGAATGTGATCACATTACATGACATCACATCACATAATATCACATGATATGATGAGACATCACAATATATTACATCACATAATATGATATCACATCACACGATATCACGTGACATGACATCATATGATATGACATCACATTACATAGCATGACATCTCATGACTTGACATCACATGATATGACATCGTATGACATGATATGGCATTACATGACGTGGCATCACATGATATGACATCATATAGTATGACATCAGAGGATATGACAACACATGACATGACATCCTATCACATCATATAAAATCACGTCACATCTTATCACGTCATCGCACCTCATCTCATCTACGTGAATAGAAAAGGATATAAGCAAAGATGTGAAAGATAAAAACAAAGAGGAAGACCAAGGTAAAGTTACCGATTTCAAAACCAAAAACACCGTTGGAAAGGTAATTTTCTGTAGATGAGGAAAGTTTTTATAGTTTCGAAATTGGTTGAAAATTTTCGTTTAAAAAATTCCATATTTGTTAATGGTTGTTTTTGCAACCTGCTCAATTCAAGCGTTTCGCATTTTGTTTTACTTCGTATTTGAAATTAAACTTTGTGTTCAATCTCAGGGGATTGATTAGAGCGGCACAGCGTGCACCGGAGAAACTAAAACCGATTGGGATTTCGTATAATTCAAATAGATTAAATAATTCTTTTATTGAAGTAATTCAACGTATTAATGCAATACAACGACAATTTTGACCCCGAGTGGCTTATGAAACGGAAAATTGAAAATGCAGGTGCGATGCGGCTGCGGCGGTCGTTACAGACGAAGTGAAAAAGAATTTTAATTGCGGACACAGGTCACCACATGGCTCGCTTACAATAGCAACTATTACAAAGCATTTTTCAAATGTAAATTCACAATGGCAAAATGATGTTGCCGGCCGCACGCATTTTACAAAGAAAGGAAAATTCAATCTAATCGAACTGGATTAAGTTAGTGTCCATGTCCTCGACACTTTGAAATAAAGATAAATATGAAGATGGAGAAACAAGTGATAACGATGAAGACAAAAAAAAAGGCAAAAGTGAAGACAAAAAGGAAAATTGAGATAAAGGTGAAAATGGAGACAATGAGAAATAAATAAGAATTAGGTTAACAGAGTTGAAATTTTGCGATAGGAATCGAAATAAAATCAGGCATAAAGGTTACTGAAATTTATCGAATCATCGAAGTTTATAATTATCGAAATTTATCCATGCTTATTAAGTTATCGCAACGTATCGAATTATTCAAACTGATCAATGTTTACTGAGTTGTCGCAATTTATAGACACAGAAACTTAGTGGTCCAAATTTACGGGTAGTTATTGAGCTATAAAAACGAGTGAGATTAACGAAATTTGTCAAGTTAAAGAAATGTATCAAGTTATCGATATTTCTTGAATTATCATTATTTATAGACTTAACGAAATATATTGAGATGTCGTAATGCATGGAGGTCTTTCAACTTACAGAGTTATCGATAATTATTGATCTACTGAATTTGGTTGGTTCAACGAAGCGAAGTTTATGGAATTTTCAAATTATATCGATTTATTGAAATTTCAAGGTTATATTAGCTTATCGATTTATCACTGCTTATCGCATTTAATCGTCTTAGCAGAGTGTAAGGAGTTATCAAAATGTTTAGATAGTTTTCGAAAAATGTGGAAACGTCAAAAGTAAACATTTATAAAGGTATCCAAAGTCTTTACATTTTTGAGTTATCGAAATTTATCGAGCCATCGAATTTCACAGTTACCGAAATTGGTCGAGTTAACGAATTTAGTTGAGTTATCGAATTTTAGTGAAATTCATCGAACTATCGATATGTATCAAATCATTGAAATTTATCGATAAACTTGAATGTATCGGGTCAATTCCAAGTCCTGCCGAAGTCCTCCAAAGACCTTCTCAGATAAGAAAAATTTAGTTACGTTTTAGCAGAAGATTTTCCGGTTAGTTAATTTGTACCGTATAAGTTTTGCTACGTGTTAAGATAGAAAACCTCTCCAAGGCTTCTAAAACTAGAAAAACTGTCGAACTTCTACAGTAACTGGCACTCTAGTACTTATAGAAACGCATGTTGAGGAAGAGAATATTGAAA